GACAATACAAGGTTTAGAACATAAATATTGAACTGAAACCTCAGAATTGTTAAGAACTTTCTTTTCTAAAATGTTTAAATAGATAAAATCTACATAATCCACATTCTTCTGAAACTGTGGAGTAACTGCTGTTGTCTGTAATGTCTCCTTTCCAAAGGACAGCACAAAGTTCTGGAAGAAAACCCAAAACACAGAGATGTTAACCAGAGAACCTATGTGATTATTCACACACTCACAATAATAACAGAACACTGCAGAGGCACGTATATACCACACTTTTACTTCAAAAGATGAGGTTTCTTTTACCTAGCAAGTAGACACGGATTACTGGAGAGCCACCATCAAGATTTTAATGGCATCAACGTCCCTACGTCAAGGTCTCAAAGTTACACATGCTTCTACAAACAAACTGTATTTACAGGGTGTATCCTTCAGCCCTATGCAAGTGGAATCCGGTCTAAGATAGCGACTTAGACGTCACACTATCCAAACATGCTCCTAGGATCAGGCCTAAGGAGTGTGCACAAAAATGTACAGGCATACATTCATTATGTATCATTGTTTGCTAGGACTGCCACAGCCTGATGTTTCTGCTTCTTCTAAAAAAGTTAGCTGATTTTGTTACCTGTCATGCAGGTCCCTGAAGGACAAAATAACAACAAAGGCTTCCTGACAATGAATTAATATTTGTAAAGTGTTTCATTTTTGACATGTTCCTATTGTGAAGATGGACTTGGAAATCTGAGCAGCAAGACCAGCAGGCTGAATTTGCCCAGCTTTTGCTCTCCACAGCTAGGTACATTATATATAGTTTGAGAGTGAGTGCCTGGACATACAACAGGATGAGCTCCTGTGATTATGTTCTTGTCTCTAAAACTTCAAACAGCTTTTTTTCTTTCTGCCTAGCAGCCAGCATCCAGCTTGATGCACTGCCAAGGATACTGGGGATTACTCAGCTCTGAGGGCAAGCCACCAGCACAGCAGTTCCACCATGTCCCCTGGTCTGTCTAAGATATTCACAATTGTCACATAGGAATACCAGGGAAGATGGTCATTAAGATTGCTAAAAATGAGATCTGTCTTGGGTAACCTTTAACTTTGCTAAGATTACACAAATTAAAATAAAATTTATCTTGAATACCTATCTTGGATTGATGCCTTTTTCACTGAGTTTTTCAAAACATTTAAAGGGTTTGGCCTAGTCATTAGTACATTTCTAGTCATAGAAATTGTGTGTTGTGCACCTGGAAGACTAGACCTTGCCCACAATCCAACATGGAGATCAACAGAAGTCCCTAATGATAAACTACTTTGTTTTTTATTTCTTGAGAATATGTTGACACTCCTTGAGAGCTACACTGAAAAAACATCAAGCCAGTATGACCTGTGAAGGTGTAAATATTAAGAAAAGTCAGAACTAAGTCCTATACTACCTCCTTGCTCCTACAGATGAAGATTTTTGGATTTTTTTGGTCACCTGTGTGATCAAATGGTATTTTTCCCCAGTTCCCTGCCTCCTTAGAGGTGCAAAAGAGCTCAAGGTTTGTTGGAGGAACACAACTATGCATAGAGGTGCTGTTCACTTCAAGACCTTGACTTTATTAAGGTCAGACACTGGAAGATGTAACTGAATGAGGGAACTGTTGGACAAAGAAGCTAGATACCATTGTGAGCAGATGGGTAGCTCTAGATCACTTTATTTAGTGTTCCTAGGGAACTTGTCACTTAAACCACTTACCATACTTGCAACCAAATGCTCTTTATTTTCTTGTATCTGACAAGAGACACTGCAAGTGAGATGTGCAGTGATGCTGAACACTGATAAACACACATCAGCACCAAGATATACACCTTCAACAAATAAAATGCTAAAAACCCACAGAAGACTATGCAACTTTGCCTATTGTAGAAAGCCAAAATACTGTCTCATCAGCCTTCCTCTCTGCCTTATTTCCCACTCCACAAAATGCATATTGGTTAGAGTACAGTGCTAATAATGCCAATGTTGTGGGTTTGATCCCTTTATGGGCCATTCACTTTAAGAGTTGGCCTCAATGATCCTTGTGGGTCCCTTCCAACTCAGAATATTCTGATTTTATATTGTAAAAACTATGCAAACTGAAGGGGCTGAAAAAGGAATAGCAATAGGAGGTTGGCATCCATTGGAACACATGGTATGGCGTCTATCATATGCTGGAATAACACACATACACAAATACTGAGACAAAAGTTGATGAGAGAGCCTTCACTTTAATACTAATTTGAGTACCTTTCAGAGTTTGACAAAAGATACTATTCTTTCATATTTCCACCACAATTCTTCTTTGGTTTAAAAGTATTAAAACCCCATAGCAGCAGCAACAAATTATCCTAAACCTCTTGTATTTGATGGTTATAATTAATATTTCTTGATCTTACAATAAAGAGTAATTGTAAGTAGCTTAATCTTTGTGATAAGGGCGCTGTGTCATGAGGAAGATGGCAATATACTATGAACACAGTGCCATGTCATTATCACAAGATGCAAAAGTCCACCAGGTAGATACTAAAAAGCATAGGGGTACTAATGTGTGCTTACCACACACACTTACTGTCAAAACACACACACAGCCAGCTCTCAATTTTCTCAGTGGTTATCCACCACAGAGCAATGGGAACTAGACTCCAGCAAGGACAGCTTGGGTCTGGCACAGTTCATTAACAAAGATGCAGCAGTGTATGAATTTGTCCATGTCATCTCCAGTGAATGGCAGAAATTTTGTGGTGGGAGATCCCAAAGCAGTAAGCTCTCAAACTCAAAGCCAGATCTTTGCAGAACAATTTCCATGATGTTCCTAGAGCACTTAAGCACAATGCAACACAATTGCTGATGCTAAGTTTAGCTCCAGCTCTGCTGATCGAGTGCCCTTCCGGTAGTGCCTGATCTGCTAAAGGGCTCCCCATTTTACTTTGTATTCTTTGGTCCCTGGGTACTACTTGTGGCCTGTGCTGCCAAAATGCATGAACTATATTTGAGTCTTCTTTTACATCCCACCTAACAAACCCTTCTGGAGGCTCATCCAGCAAACAGCATGGAGCAAAGAACCCTGAGCAACTCCACATGCTGGAGACCCGGCAGACACCGCAGACCATAAACAGCCAGACCATGGCCAAGTCTCTGTTACCACTACACAGTGCACAGAGTGTGTATCATCTCAATGTTCCTCCTTGGTGAGGAACTTCCTGTTGTATCAGACAAGGCAGAGTTAAATGTGCATCACCTCTGAGACAGCACAAGGATGAAAAGATGACACACTGAGCGAGTGTGATTAGGAGACTTAAATATAAAAGTTTTCCAGCGCACTAAAGAAGTCAGCTACGCTGATTCAAATTATCATGAAATAGACAAACTTCAACAAGACAGACACAAAGGTTTTGTTGTGTGGGGCAACTTCAACCTGTAAATGGTTTTGGGTTTGTTTTTTTTTTTTCTTTTCTTAAATCCTGCTGAATCTGAATGATTTAGCCCAAGTAATCCCATCAGATCTTGGGATAAAAATCAATGTGAGAAGCAAACACTGCAAGCATTAGGAAACTGAACATTTTGAGCAGAGTAATAATACAGAAATGATTGAGCAAGTATTCTTTCATTTGCTGGAGGTCTCAACAGGACCCTTCATGAGTTCAGCCCTGAGGACATTCCACAATGTCCTACGAAACCTGCACCTGTTTGCACAAAATCTGAAGATAACTGCAGTTCTTCACCTGCAAATGCCCAACACGTCATGCTACATTTTATCAAGTGTGAAAAGACATGCCAAAAAAAGGTGTTGATCTGCTGCTCTCCATCAGCACCAACATGGCACAGGCACACAAACACTTAGACCAGAGCTTATGCTTAGCAACAAAAGAGATGAAAAAGTAGTTTAGTAACTGGCCCTAACCCACGGTTGTTTCCATAAGCCAGTGCAGCACTATGTTCAGTCGTGCATCTGTACTCGGATGTCAAAGGCCCCCTCATTTTTCCCACTCTAGAAGTTTATCGTCACCCAGGGCAGAAAGCTTAA